TCGGGTTCCCTACGTGGCGGCATGTGAACATTGAGAAAGTTCAAAATTATTGAACACGTGATGATATTCTGATTGATTACTGAGGCACACAAATCTCTTGACGAGTAGCCAAAAATGGCTATTAAATACTGACATGAAACTTGAGGAACTCTAGAGTCATATCGAAAGATACTAAAGTCTAGAGTCATATCTGAGTATACTAATCTCTAAAGTCAAGTCTGAATATATTGAATTCTAGAGTTATCCGAACTCTAAGTCTGAACCTGAATCAAGCATCTTAACTAAGTCTGATTACTGATTTCTGAGCATAGACAAAGTAATATGTTTATAACTGAAAACTGAATCAGCACTTACCTGGAGTCGGCGAGGCGTGAGCGTGACGGTTCAGGTTTTTCTGAAAAAACTGACTGAAAAACTTTTCAGAGACGCATAAACGTGCTCTGATACCAATTGTAACACCCCGACTTTTAACTTATAGAGTACGCAATTTTTCGCAATTTTCTGAATAAATAAATAAAATACTTATTTTGCGAAAACTGATTCGGAATGCTACCGTGAAAAACTTGATTTTTCTGAAAACCGTTAAAATTTTAAACTGATAAATAAAAACGGTTTATCATTTTATGCAAAATAACACATACAGTCATTATATCTTCTAACAAATTTTTAGGGTAAATTGCAGTTTTGATACCCAAAGTAAAAGTCATTTTAAAATAAGTACCCATTTTGAAACATCTGCGAAATCAATACCCAAACTTTCATTATGTTAGCAACGTTAATACTCGATCGTTAGATCTCCGTCAAATTTCCTGGGACACTCCGGCAGCGCACGACAGCATGTGCGGCATCCGATGGCTGCGATCTCGGCGGCGTTGGAAAGGTCTCGTCGAGATGGTCGTTTGGGTAAGCTGCACGTCTTGATCGGACCTCCGGTAGTTCAGTACGACAAAATATATTTCGTCTCTTTTTACCTACAGATATTCTACTGTATATCACAAATACCTCTTAATCTTGTACCGGTTGAACAACAAGAAGAAGATAAAGCTCGAATGGGAACTGAGAGAGAGAATATGGGGCAACGTGAATTACGATGTAATTGTGATTCATGTTCTCTTCCCATGAGCTTAATAATGTATATATAGAGCTAGAGTAGGGACCCTTAGGAGATTAGGAGAAGGGATCCTTAATTAATTAAAATACTTGTGGATCAAGCCACTTATTTTAATTAATTAAATAATATTAAATGGGCCACCAACATAATATTATTGCACTCCCTTTTCTTAGCCCAATTTACAGTTGAGACTCCAATAATAAATAATCGATATATCTCTTTATGTTTAAGATATAATGTCCATTAATTAATTCAATTACTGACAATCAATAATTTAATTAATTTATTATTATTTCAACGAAGCTAGCGCTCGTTCATCACATTATGACTATACCGAAATTTAACCTGCAAGGTTTACACCTTCATGAACTCACTCCGGGGACATCATCAAACTAACACACATGGTGACCGTAAATATCGTATCAGCACATCCTACATGCAACAATATTATCCAAGACAACGGGTCTATTGGCCCAGTTCACTAAACCTCACCCATGTGAATCAAAGTAATAAGTACTACACATATATGCATGTTTAATATCTTAGGGGTTAAGAGTACACAGTAATTAACTGAGGCCTAGTTCGTTTACGACGATCAGTATAAAATAAACTACTCCTCTTTGGGATCCTGTCCAATACATAATGTACTAGTGCAACTAATCAGTCAAGACAAACTGTACAGTTGACACTACAACCGTTCATGCTGGGGTGTTCATGTCCATTTGGGTTGTGAACCACTTATTCTTGTTTCGCGAGTAACTGATAGCATGATCTTCGGTTCTCCCGATGACGACCCACACTATCTAATGCAAAACAATAGGACGTAGAACTTGTTTATCTAACATGTTTCTCATTCATAAAATGTAAAGGTGTATTATCATCCAAAGCCAAGCTTCCAATATGTAACACTAACAATCTCCCACTTATACTTAGAGCTTTTGCTTTTACAAGTATAGTCCTATCAATCCGTTATTCTAAAAGGCCTATGTCGATCCTATCGCCATGCACTTGACTACCATTCCTGTCACATGTTTGATGAAGACCTTCTCCGGCAAACTCTTCGTGAAAGGATCAGCTAGGTTGTCCTCAGATGCAATCTTGGCAACATCAATGTCTCCTCTACCAACTATCTCTCGGATCAGATGGTACTTGCGCTATATGTGTTTGCTTGCTCTGTGGGCTCGCAGTTCCCTTGAGTATGCTACTGTTCCACTGTTATCACAGTACACGGTGATACCACGTAGCAAACTCGGAATCACTTCTAAGTCCACTAAGAAGTTTCCGAGCCAGACTGCATCTTTCTCTGCCTCTGAGGCTGCTATGTACTCGGCTTCCATTGCCACGCATTTCTGCTCAGCAATCCTCCATGAAAAGGCTCCACCTCCCAAGATAAACACATAACCAGAGGTTGACTTACTCTCGTTCCTATCTGACCGGAAATCCGAATCACTGTAACCCAGAGGTAACAAGTTGTCTGCACGGTAAACTAACATGTACTCCTTAGTCTTTCTCAAGTACTTGAGTATATGCTTCACCGCAGACCAATGTTCCCTACCCGGATTACTTTGACATCGAGCTACTAAGCCAACGACATAGCTGATATCTGGCCTAGTACAAAGCATAGCATACATAAGACTTCCTACTGTCGATACATAAGGAACTATCTTCATGTCCTCAATCTCTTGAGACGTTTTAAGAGACATCTCCTTAGGGAGAGGGATTCCTTTCCTACAAAGCAAGGTACCTTCCTTGGAATCCTGCATGCTGAACCTTGCCAAGACAGTATCTATGTATGAAGACTGAGACAAGCACATCATTCTCTTCTTATGGTCTCGAACGAACCTAATACCAAGAATGTGTCACGCTTCTCCTAAGTCCTTCATATCAAACTGCGTAGACAACCAAACCTTTACGTCTGAAAACTCTTTCTTATTGTTTCTAATAAGAAGTATGTCATCCACGTACAACACAAGAAACACCACCACGCTCCCACTAACTTTCTTGTACACGCATGGCTCATCCGGACATTGAGTGAACCCGTACGACTGGATCACCTCATCGAACCAAATGTTCCAAGACCTCGAAGCTTGCTTCAATTCATAAATGGACCGATTAATCTAACACACTAGATGCTCACGACCTTTCTTAATGAATCCCTCTGGTTGTTGTATATAGATGTCATCCTGAAGGTTTCTATTAAGGAAAGTCATCTTGACATCCATCTGCCAGACCTCATAATCCATATGAGCGGCTACAGCCAAGAGAATCCGAATGGACTTAAGCATAGCTACTGGCGAAAAGGTCTCATCATAGTCTATACCCTCAATTTGGGTATAACCTTTTTCAACAAGCCTAGCTTTGAAGGTTTTCTTCTCTCCATCCGATCCTCTCTTTCTCTTGTAGATCCACTTACATCCAATCGGTCGTACCCCATCGGGTGGTTCTACAAGATCCCAGACCTGATTAGAGTATATTGACCCCATTTCAGCATCCATTGCAACATTCCATGAATCTGCACTTTATCTTGGAGTGCCTCGTTGTATGTCCTTGGGTCAAATTCTAGGTTTCCTGGAACTGAGCCCTTAGACTCTCCAAGACCTATCTATCGGTCGGGTAACTGAGAAATCCTCCCACTATGACGAGGTACTGTCTACACTGGTACACTATCAGTGTGCCGTGTTGCAGTATTATGTGATGTATCTATTTGCGCAATCGGTGGAGAACTATCAACTTCACCCCTG